TCAGAAAAATTGGTGCCATAATGTTAAGTGAAATAAATTATATACACAATCTTAACTACTGCATGGTTTCTCTTATAGAAGAAATCCAAAGTAGAAATAAATGAGAGAGCAAATAGGAAACTGGAAGACAGATCTTTTGAAGTGAGAAAGTAACCTAGAAATGGAGAGAGGGAGGAGGAAAGGAAAGGAAATGGGACATAACAGAATTAAGGTGTGCTGAGTGCACGTCAGACCTCGTAATGAGTAGTCATTACGTACTTCAAACGTGTACTAATATAGAAATTTCAAATGAGACATTGGAACTTAGCACCTGCCTCACCTAGGACTGGGGAAAAAATGAGGCAAATACTAAAAACACAAGAGTATATACGTACCCTTTCCATAGCACCAGAGCAGGGGTGCCTCCTATGCCCAGGTGTCTCTGAACACTCTACTTAACACTCAAGTGAGCAGAACAGTGACTCGTGTAAGCATCCTTTTGGTATTATTATAATATTCTCAACGTTGAGGACCTTTGAAAGGAGACTATTTTCTAGTAGTCTAAGGGAATGACTAAATAGGAAATAATGTTTTACTGATTCAAGTAATTTCTTTCACTGCACACTTATCTTACATAATAACTTACGATCTAGACATACTATGGCAATGAGACTGTAAAATATGCTCACATGCAACTGATGAAGAGAACAGATTAGGTGATGCAAAATAATCTTTTAGGTATCCAAACAAGAAGTACTAGAAATGTCCTATTTAAATTCTTCAGTTATTTTTAAATATATGAATCTCAATCTTTGTTCTATCCTTAAATGTGATTTAATGTTACATACAGGTGACTTACCTTTACTCATGCATGAAATAAAGAGAGTACAACACAGTATTAAATTTATGGAAGTCAGTTTTACAAAGAGTTTGTTGGAAAATATCTAATTCACAAGGGAATAATTATCTGGCTTGGGTTTGATAAAATTCCAAATAGAAAAAATAGGAAAGGATAGGAATGGTAACAAGCATTCTAAAGTAACAGGAATAAGAGAAAAGAAAAAAATAAAAAGGGATTCCTCTGAGGACACATGTTACCATTTTGATGAGGATTATGTAGGTAAATGTATTTCGTATGAAAGGCAATGCCTAAATAGTTTAAATAGCTGGTGTAGTTTCCTGCCAATCATTCATTTAGTAACACAGGGAGATTGAAATAACCCTTACTTCTGAAGATGAAAATGGTCCCTGAACATATTTAAATTGCTTCTTGCTCTTGTAGTCTTATCTTATTCTTCTTTTTCATTGTTTAGAGTACTTTATTAGTTTCTGTAATCAAACCCACGTAGATATGACCTTACATATTTAATACAGTGCGTTACCCCTGTACAAATGGGAAAAAAATTAACATTTCTAGACCAATATGGCTGTCCATTTCTGTACAATGCCAACTCAACACAGTAAATTGGGATAACTTTTTCTGAAGTAGACAGCACAGTTAAAGTTTCCAAAAATTCAAATTATATATATATTTATATATAAGACCAATAAAGCAGTATGTTATGCATCAATAGCAGCAGCGGCTTTTCCAGGCTCTGCAGTCATCTGAACAAAATTATAGACATTCAGCACATTCCATTAAAAAACCAAAACAAAAAACAAAGAAAAGAATAATACCCAGAAAACAGCAAAGTTCTGTTGCTGTTGTGGTACCTGGCACCATTTTTTTATTAGAATCTTAATCACCTTCTGGAAAGAGAACATTCTAGAGTAATATCATTAAAAATAGCTCTGATAAAGCATGGTCCCTACTACATATCATAAAGAAGGTACAAGATATTTTACATTCACAGAGGTATGATACAGTATCATCCTACATCAATAATACTAGATTATTTTAATCTTACATCATTGCCTTTTCTCTTTTACTTTCCTTTTTAGTTTTATTTTAGGATTCCCTATTTTTAATGTTCATACAGAGGTTTCTTTAACTGAAATACTGAATAGTTTCTCTGGTGTGAAAAACTGTAATAGTACACAAGATCCTAATGAAATAATTAATAATGTGAAATAGGAAGTAAAGGGCTAAAGGTGTAGGGAAAGTGGGAAGGGTGGGGGAAAGGTAGTAAGGGAGAGGAAAAAATATGAGAAATTGAAAAAATGGAAATAAAATGTTTGTAAATGGGGAGGGAAGGAGGAGGTGAAGGGAGGGCAGGGACAAGGGAAAAAAAAATGAGAATCAAGACCTGTCATGTAAAGGTACAAGATCCCAATAATGAGTGTAACTGTACTCTATACCTAGATTGTACCAATAAACTCAAAAAAAAAAAAAAACCCACAGGGAGAAGTTCAGGAAATTTGCTAAGAGGCCTGAGCCTCAACTGAAGCACATTAGACCAAGAACAAGTTGAACTTACAACTGAAAATGATGTAAAGTGGATTCTTGACTTACAAACTCCATTTGTTTGTAAGGGCTGGTAGTAACTCAAGTTACTTGTGACTCAAGACTATTTTTCCCATAAGGAATAATGGAAATTTTTTTCCTCATGGAGTTTATTGGTACTTTTTTTTTCTTTTTATTGAGTTTATTGGTACTTTTTAAGTGTACAGTACAGTTGCATTCATCATTGGGATCTTGTACCTTTACATGACAGATCTTAGTTCTCATTTTTTCCCCATACCCCTGCCCACCCTTCACCCCCTCTTCCCTTCCTTATTTGCAAACATTTTTTTTCCATTTTGTCCTTTTCTCATATTTTTTTCTTGTCCCTTTTTTCCTTTCCCCTACCTTTCCCACTTCCCCTACACCTTTAGCCCTTTTCTTCCTATTTCAGATTATCAATTATTCAATTTGGATCTATTTACACTTTTAGTTTTTCACACCAGAGAAACTATTTGGTATTTGCTCATGTGTGTGTTATTTATTTCACTTAAGAGTATGTCCTTAATACACATCTATTTTCCTATGACTGACTCTAGTTTCTCATTCTTTATGGCTGAATAGTACTCTATTTTATAGAAAAACCACACCTTCTTTAATGGAAATATTCATAATACATTCTGAACCTTCCAAAGCACCCCTTTACTAACCATTTCATAATAAAAAGGGTTGTATAATGTGCATAATTTACAGTTAATACCAACAATGTATTCACTTAGTGTATTCACCAAAAAGTTATGAAATATGCCTGATTTACCAGAAACAACAATTTCATAAGTACTCACCATTTGAGTTGACATTTTTCACTTGCAGGAGGGGAGGATGAAATGGAATGTGGTTATTGTTTGAAAGCAGAGTCCCCTTCCATAAGAATATCAGGAACCTGGCTCTCTGGTGCCCTTCCTCTCCTTTGCAGAGCCCACTAGGGCTCACTAGGACCCCACTAGGACTTACATCTGGGTCACTAGGTCTCAACCAGCATTTGGGTCACAACTCAAGCCTTTGGTCATAAGTTAAAATTAAAATTCTAGTCACAACCCAAGTTGTTCCTATGTGAGGCTGGTCATAACTTGAGGGTCCACTATAGGTGCCCATCTCTTTTGAACAAGTCTTTGTCCTCTAAATTAGCATGAGAATTGCAGTGAGGTTTTGTCCCCACTTCTAGAATGAGGAAAGCTGCAAAGGTGTCACATATCATAAAGTCAGGATTATGGATGTCTTCCTAAGAAAACAATGAGACCGCATATTTTATGGCAAGGTTGACAGCATGTATGGCCACCGCCTTGTTTCTCCCATAGGAAGACAATTACCCTGAAATCTAAAATCTAGCAGAGGTGAGAATAGGTAAGCAGGGCATTGATGAGGATAAATAAAATGCTGGTGCTATCAGCGACACCTCATACCAGCCTCCACCTTAATCTTTCAGTTTAAAGGAGTTTTTATACTTCCATTTCAACAAAACAAGATTTGTTTTCTACCACTTGCAATGAAAGAATCTAATACAATAATTCATTTTATTTATCTCTTGTGGCCAACACGTGTCGTAAGGCAAATTTAGTAGAGATAATGTTCTCGCTAGGGTTAGAATTTGAATTAATATATTTTTTTTTCTGCTGGATACCATTTTGGAAATCCATGACCATAGAGATTTATGCTAATTTTCAGGCTATTATAGTTGGGAAATTAAAAAAGGTACAAGGAGTTTGGGGACTTCAACTAAAGTAGTTTTATTAAATCTCATAGAGAAAATATGTTAAACACAAGGTATATATATTTGCCCAAGAGTAAATTCGTTTTTCCTCCTTTGAGATAAATATCCCAAATATGAGAGCCCTAAATCCTATATGTTAGTCATAGAAGACAAATTTTTCTGATTTTTTGACACATTTGTACTGCTAGACTTCACTATAGCATATGAAGCACACGTTACCCTGACAGCAAAGAAATGAAAATTACGCACTATATATATTTTCCAGTGGCATCTTTGTAGACCTTGCCAGTATCTGAACTGTTAGAACATGGTTGAATGTCAATTTTGTGTAAGAATTTTAAAGCGGGTTTATTATAGTACTGAATATATCTGGTCATAAATTTTACTATGAAGAAAAAGCAAACTTTCTCTAAACATGAAATTTTATTCACATCCATTAATTGTTCAACATGGCATGGCTTGTGAAATCTAGTTATTTTATTAATATTACTGTGGCTTTTGTTGGCTTTTTTTTTTCAAAGGAAAAATATTATATGCATTTGTTTGAATATGATTTTTAGTAAATTATTTCAGTAGTAATTTCCATTTATTTGCTTAAGAAAACACAGGGTTAAAATAGAACTTTAGAGTTTTACACGATTGAGGATCTTCTGAAACATATCAATTCAACAAAAGCAAGTGAAAATTTTAATAAATCCTGAAGAGAGAGAGAGTGGGACCTCGGCTCGTGAACTTAGTTTGTTTCACCAGTCTGGGGAGATGGGCGTGGCCGAGGGCGTCTGCTTCCATTCCCAAACCGAACTGTTCGTGGCTGGAGTCACTGTTGTGCTGTCACGGTTTATTATTATGTCCCATCCTGGTACCGCTCCTGCTCTCCACTCTTGTTAGTAATGATACCGGTAGGCAGTTCTCCGGTTTCAAGGAAGTGTGAAGCCTGTGTTTTCCTGATTATCATCAAAAGTTTCCAAATGCAACGTGGACATTCAATCCTTCGTTTTAAAGAATGAAGCAGGATTCACTACAGGTTGAGTACCCCTTCTCCAAAGTTCGTAGGACTGATAACGAATTCAGATCTTTTTCCCCAAATTTTGCCATATTTGTATATACCTAATGAGATATACTGGGGATGCGATATACCCGAGTCTAAGCCTGATTTCTTTTTACGTTTTATATACACCGTACACGCAGACTTTGAGCGTAACGTTCTACAGCATTTTTAATGATGTGCACAAAACAAAGCTTCAGGGTACAGAATTTTCCATCTGTAACACCATGTAAACACTCAGTAAGTTTCAGGTTCTGGAGCACTTTGAAGTTCCAAGTTTTGTATTCATGACTACTTACTTATCTGTGTTAAAGAAATGAATGAATTAAACAAAAGGAAAATTCATCTCACTGCATGAAATATTATTTTACTGTGCATATATATATTACTTTATATGTTATATTTATATATATATTAATATTTATATATTATTTTACTGTGCATATATATATATCCACATACTAGTAAAATATGTAACTCAAAAATAAATGTGGGATCAATCAGATAGAATTTTTTTCAACTTTAATTGAGTTTATTGGTGTATTTTAGGGGTACAGTACAGTTACATTCATTGTTGGGATCTTGTACCTCTACATGACAGGTCTTGATTCTCATTTTTTCCCCTTGTCCCTGTCCTCCCTTCACCCCCTCTTCCCCTCCCCATCTACAAACACTTTATTTCCATCTTTTCATTATCTTATAATAAGGGAAAATAAAATTTTATTTTTATTCATGTGAATAAACACCAGCAAGAAACGGTTTGATAAGGCAACAAACACGAAGTTCCTCTAACTCCTTGTTCAACAAGCCTTAGGACATGACTTTCTGGCTTTGCATTTCCAAATTGTTGGACTTTTCCATGGACATTCTAGTAGTTCAGAAAGCTGGAGCTCCTCACTGTACTGCCTACTAAAAAATGTAATATGAATCACACATACACAATGATATATACATAGGGTGTCAAATTTTGAATGGCCCACATTTTAAAAAAATGATAAGTACAGTTAATTTTATATCTTTTCAATATATAATCACTATAAAACTTTCAATGACAAATTTTATTCTCTGTTTCCCATAAAGTCTTGGAAATTTGGAATGTATTGAATGTATTTTATACTCCCAATATATCTCAGTTTAAAACTAACCTCAGATCAAATATTTATCATTTCTAAACAGCATCCTTGTGAAAGTCTTAGCTAGTACAATAGAGAAAGAAATATACTCTTGAAAGTTTGGTCAATGACACTGACTTGGTATTCAAGTGGCATGATATGTATGTCGAAAATCTCAAATAATTAACAACAATAAAACACTTCCTATAACTAACTAGTATATAAGATCATAGGAAACAAGGTCTCCATAAGCAAACTGATCCTATATATGACAGCATTGAACAACTGAATTATAAAATAACTGTGTTAGAAAGAGATAAACTTTTCCTTTACTTTTAAAGCTTACAGATAACATATGTGAGAGTAGAAAACGTTATATCACTATCCCTAGAGACACAGTGAATACTTTTTACCTTCATAGTGTTTCTTTCATTTAGTAAAAGTTTTAATTCTAATTTTAATTATTAATCTTGAGACATTAGTTTATTTTTTTCTGCTTCAAGTATTATACAGATTATGCTGGATCTTCTTTGTGGTCTCCTACAATTATTATTTTCTCATTCACCCAGCTCATGGTTATTAGTGATATTTCTACTACAAATTTTATCTTTAACTTTGCTAGATATCTTTCACTGTACTTTCATCTGTAGCAATTCTTCCTTTGGTATCTGTTCCTTTTACTCTCATTTTTGATATATAGTCTGAGATATTTATTCCTTTATATAAGTTAGTTTCTTTTCTGATCTTTTTCTATTCTTTTTCTTTTCATTAGTTCGATATTCCTGATTCACATTGTTATTTCACATCTGCAATTTTTCATTTAATTTTCTTTTGCTTCAACCTGAGTTTTGTGTTACAGTTTTCATCTACTGAATCACTGGATTTGCTAACCATGCTTTCATTTGCCAAAGAGTTTTCATTATTTTTATTTTTCATAGTACCTTTACGTAGAGCTGGGTTTTGCTTTGCTGGATTTTTCTTTTTTTGTTGTATTTATTTGGACAGGATTTTCCTAAACCAGCCATTGAAGGACTTAATTCTCAGTGAGTAGAAGTCACTTCTTGGTTTCTGGCATGAAGCAGTTTCTCTTCTTTTCTCCTCTGCTAGAATAAAAAAGGCAACTTGTGTGTGTGTGTGTGTGTGTGTGTGTGTGTGTGTGTGTTTTCAATATCAGACACCTCTTTACTTGCTTTACATATTCTAACTGCTGTTCTCCTTTTTGCTTTTAACTTTCAGAAGAACGAAGGACATCTTTGACTTCAAATGATCCTCTTTTCCTCAGAAGAACTATTTTTTAGGACAGCCATCTCTTGTCCTGTGACTTTTCTAAACCCGTTACTTTTAATTAACCCATACCCAGGACCTTAATGTACATTTTCCCAGTAGAATAAGCCTTCTTGCTTTCCTACCGATGAACTCTAGCTGGTATTACCTTTGTTCTGTTGTTGGTATCATCTTTGTTCGGTATAATCCTATTGCACTCCTGTCTCTTGTTTGATCCCCATCACCCTCCCTCCAGCTGGGTGAGAACTGGAACTAACTTTTCAGGTCTTGGATGTGTACTTCACCTATTTACAGAGTTTTGTCATCTTAGTAGCCAGAAGATATAGGTATTAATTTTCTTTTCTCTTAGTGTCTTCTAAGTTAGGAAAAAGATTGAAAGCATTAAAGACCATCATATTCTTCTACTGATTCCAGAAACCCCTGCTTCCTTCTTTATCACTGAACAATAGAATGTTGATGTCTCTCCAAAGGAAACTTTTTTTAGGCTCATTAATTCCAGCTAACCTCTATGTTTTATAAGATGCATGTACTATCATTCATTTTTATTTTGGTAAAGGTTCTTTGTTACACACAATGAACCCACTGCAGTGTATTGAACAGAAAGATTTACTACACATCTATAGGTACTGCAGACATGTACCAATAAAAAGTTAAAAAAAGAGAAAAAGACAGACGGCTAGATAAGTCTTTTGCAGGTTGTTTTCTAGGGGATACTGCATAATGGTGCCCTAATTTTAACTCTCAAGACTGTTCTGATTAGTGAGAAATCATTTGGTCATCTGATGAATGCTTCACACAGTCATTGGGGAGCTGAATAAAACAATGTTCCAGTCTAAGCTGCTAAGAACACCTGACACAGTTGTGCAGGATTAACCTGAGGATAATCAGGTGCTGTCACTGCCAAACACAGGTCACAGTCCGTACATTCCTGCAACAGCTGATGCCACTCATGACACTCCCGTAGGCCTGCAGAAAGAACGCCACTGTGTATCTACCAACACCTTGGGAAAGTGAACGCTTCCAGCAGTGAAGAAAGCTCCTCCAAATGACTGCTGCTTCATTCTGAGTCTGTCTCCAGTGAGCGCATCTGTCTCTCTGGCTTACAAAGCAGAACCTCCCTGGCCTGGAGGGTGCTGGCAACTGTTCGGAGCTCCACCAACTATATGCACACACCCATGGGTGCTACAAATCCATCCTTTCTTTTATGATTTCCGAGTTTCCACTCAGTTGAGTATATCGATTTCTGAGTTCCTCCCCACGTTGTTTCTCTATTTATTTACGGAGTAGCTGCGTGGCTTTTAAAGATGATTCTTTTCATTCACGGAGGAATCAGCCATCAGTATCATTTCACTGATTACACGTCTGAAATGTATTAATTATATATGTCAATAATCTTCAATCTAGTCTTATGCTTACAGAGTAGCTGATAAGTATGCCCAGAGCAAAACAAAGGATTAAGTGAATTTTGGAAGCAATGAATATGCATCCAAAGTGAGGCTAATATGACATTACTATAAGGAAAAATGTAATTATTGGCTATGTTGTAAAATGCTATCTAATGGAGCCATATATTATCTTTTTATTGAAGTATAGAACCAACATGAGTAAGTACAAAGTACCAGAATGAGGATTTCTATTTATTATATTTCAGTGTTTCGATTTATTTTGCTGCGCTCTTAACAGAATTCTTCATTGTTTTAGACATAGATCTTAATCCGCAAATGCCTAATCACCAACCTGCTGTTATGTTTCAATCCAAAAATTAATTAAAAAATAATAAGAAAATCTATTTTAGAAATTAGTATAATATCAATTAGCTCATCCTATGTAACATTATCCCCAGGGGTATTTCATCAGCCCATTTCAAATCCCAAATGCCCAGGAAATAGCGTAATTTTGATTTTGCATATATTTGTAAAATGAAGCACAGCTTCTGAATTATCACAATAGTAACTTTAAATAAAGAAAATATTCATCCAACAAAACATGGTATATGATATACAATTAAAACTATAATTTTTGGTGTAAATATTTAAACTTACACCAAGTGGGAGTAGGTCAAGAAGCACAATTCCGACATCAATGGATGACTCTAGAAGAGAGTCACAAAGGGAGCACTATTTTTTGCCTCCCCACATAATTTTATATTTTCTCACCAAGACTGGTTCTTTCCTATTGGCTGACTAAAAATCTTAGGAAGGCTTATTCTTGTCATGTGTTTGCAAATGAAATCCTATTGTATTAGTTACTTTCTGGTTGTTGGGACAAAATACCCAACACCCACAAGTTTAAAGGATGAAAGACTTAGCTCAGGTTGTAGAGAATTCAGTCCATCATTGGCTGGAGGTCGGGAGGCCAGGCACAGGGACAAGGTAGAAGAGCTATGGTCCATGGCCAGGCAGGCAGAAAGCAGCAAGCACCAAGCAGCAGGAGCAGCCTGCCTTCCTGCTCTCCCTTTATATCCCATCCAGGCTATAAGCCTATTGATTGATGCCTCCCACACCTAGGGTAGAACTTCCATTATCCACACCCAGAACTATGCCAAACTGGTTTAGGTATCACACACCCTTAATACTAGCGTCACATACCATAGGCCCAGCTACGTGCAAAAAGCCCCACCTCTGAGTACATGAGGCTTTGGAAGACATCTAGATACAAACCATAACACCTATAATTAGAATTTAGCAACTAAACAAAAACAGTTAGTACTTAAAAGTTTCCAGTATTTTGTAGAGCTCAAAAGCCTTATATCTCCTTGTAAATTGTAGATTTCTCTCCCTCTACCAACCCCAAACTCAGGCCTGCTTAGCCTCTAGTGTGAGAAGTAGCGGCATTGGTTGAGTGCCTTCTGTCTTTCCCTGTGGAGGATTAAGCCTTCTCTCTCACTGAACGAAGGGACATGTGTTGAGGGAGAAGAATAAAGATAACTAGAATATGGAACTAAGAATAAAGATAACTAGAATGTGGAACTTCTTACTTGTTTCGCTGATTGGGATCTAGTTTCAGCATACTCTGAGCTGGGCAGAATTGTAAGGATGACTTCCTTTCATGTGGCATTTTGTGGAATCCCTTTTTGACTGTATCATCTGAAGTTCCTTTAAAAGGAAGAATAGCTATTCTGGCTCCCCACTCCATGGAGACTGGAAGTCTACTTTCAGTCCTTTCTAAGGTGTTATCTTGCTAGTTCTCTTAGACAGCTGCTTACCCAGTATGGTCTGTTTTTGTTGGAGGAACAGCTAAATTTTGTTTTTCCAGAAGGTCTATGCATTTAGTTGTTTCTCACAACACAATTCTTTAACACAGCATTTCAAGGTAGCCTGTTATCCAACCCATTCTGTTCTCAGAAAGTGAGCAAATAAACTGCCAAAGTGATAAGTTGAGATCATAACATAATTCTTTCTAAAAAAAGCCTTTTTCTGATCCTTTCAGAAATTCTAATTGCCTAGTTTTAACACTCAAAGTGGGTGGGTAGCCTGCATGTTTTCTTTTGATTTGGGGATCTCATTTTGAAATAATGCACATCTGGGGCCATCTCCACACTTTGAAATGTACTTTGGTTGAAAACTTCCACTTCGACATCAGATTCCATTAGGATCACTCTCTGTACTTCACAAATCCTTCTCTTAAAACTTTTCTTCTGTTCCCTCTTTCCTTCACTGGTAACCTCTAGAGTAATTGACATTGTTTAACAAAGATATGCAAAACATCTGTACACTCTACTAGAATATTCATTTTTTAATATTACCAAGTTTTTTTCCCCTAGGTGTACTCCTATTGTATACTATTTGGGTTCATAGGATATGCCTTCTCTTAAATTATAATGAATGTTCAATACAACCACAACTTTAATCGAAAGTAAATATTCTACAAGATCACAAGATTTAAAGAGTTAAGTAAAAGTTTTCATCCCATAAGGTTTATGTAAGAGAAATTTTTAAAATTTTGCACATATAGCTGTGTGTTTTCGGGAAGTGATGTCTATTTAAAAAGAAAGTCAAAGTAACTTTTCACAGCCTATGTCTTTTACATTAGATTGTTATTGTCTGGGGCACATGAGTCTCTAAGAAAGCCAGAATCCTCATGAACAGTGGCCGTGCTCTTCCTGGTTATCCCTCTTAACACTTGGGCCTGATACAATCTGTAGGTATCAAAAAGGAAAGGAAAACAACCACTGAAACGAATATCCTGCTATTCGCCGCCCATCACACACTCGTGCAACCTGTGGTTAGTGAGTGTCTTCTTGAAGAGGCATTGAGCTAGGACCTGTGGGAAATACAATAAATAAATAGAAGCAAAGTGTTGATGTGTCTTCCAATTTCATTCTGGTGCTACAAAAATGATAGAGTTATATACACAAATCAGTATTTTGGCGCTAAATATCACTTAGTCTTCCCAGGGACTCTTCAAAGTAGATATAAGCAACTAATTTCAGATGATGAAGCAGACTCTCAGAGAGATTAATTATTAACACCAGATGAGACAGCCAAACAGCAGAAACATACACAGTGCTGACACAGCCCAGATCATTCATTATGACATGCCCTTACAAATTGCCCTAAAAAGATATTTGGGCTATGCATGGTGACACAGGCCCGTAATCCAAGCACTTGGAAGGCTGAGTCAGGAGGATCGCTATGAGTTCACCATGAGTTTAAGGCCAGCCTGGAATACATAGTGAGTTCAAGACCAGGTTGAACTATGTAGTATGACCCTGCCTCCAAAAGAGAGAGAGAGAGAGAGAGAGAGAGAGAGAGAGAGAGAGAGAGAGAGAGGGGAGAAAGAGAGAGAGAGAGAGAGGGGAGAAAGAGAAATCCAAAATGTTATCAGTTTTCAGAGAATAACAGTATCATATATGGAGAATATGAAAATATTTTGTAAAAATAAAGAAGGTTGTTCAATCGGATAGCTGACAGGTGATTTAAGGCAAAGGACAGTTGCATTTGAATTATCCAATTGTTTTTCTAGACTGATTTAATTTTGTTTTTCTTTAGTTCTGTTTAATATGTGAAACAAACAACCCAAAAAAGTTATATATCCCATCACCCAGATTTTGTCTTTAATAGCTTTCCCTAAGTTAACAAAAGCAAAATTCTATTACTGTCCTATGGTGCTCTGGTCTTCATAAGCCACGGTGAGAAAAACCGAGAAAATTCTTTTACCCCTATGAAGAAAATGCAGCTCAGAAAGATGCCTCCTTGTGGCAGTGAGGGGGTCATTTCGTCTGTTTTCTGGCACTGAAATTAGCCATATTTACCGTCTTACTATAAGCACTAGAGAGAGAATCCTGCTAGCTATGTCCCTGCCAGATTACAATAAGGTGAGAACTACCTTGTGGTCATTACCGCGTGTTTCATCTGTGTATCTATGAAATCCAATATTGTCACTTTATTATTCAGAATAGATATTAGTAGATACTGAAAAAATTGAGAATACTGCACATAGTGTTTATACATAAATGTGGCTATAGGATAAAGAATATGATTTTAACTCACTCTGAACAGACAGATAAGAAATAATGTAAGTAATGCTTTCTTGGTGTTTCAGATGCCAGACCAGACAGACTTTGTAAAATTTAAAGGAAAAAATCATCAGCCATCATCACCAGCGAGATCAGCAACAAATTCTTCAGAACCCTATTAAGCACTGGTAATATACTGGAGATACTTAAATAGGGTATTGCCTTAAATTTACCATGTAGCTTTAATTCAGATCTGTTAATATATTTATTCATGTTTTTTTTAATTCAAAATAATCAGTGATAATTTAAGCTGGTGAACACTACCTGTAATAGTCTTTCATGAATTATTAAAGTTTTAAAAACTCTACATAAATCCTTGCATTTTAATTGCATCGTTAAATGAAAAATATTAAACTTTAAGGTCAGATAATTATTTTAAAATTTGGTTGACACAGTCACAGAGAATGTATGATCTTAGGCATTATAGAATAAAAGTACTCTCAGATAAAAATGTCCCCATGGTACTCATATTTGAAAGTACATGAATTAAATATGCTTCCTTCATCTCTAGTGGTTCATGGAATTTTTATGTCTCAACTAGGCTTTTGTATTTATTTTATGTAAAAATAGCAGTATGCCACTAAAATTTTTATTTTTCTGTAAATGTCATAGAATAAGATATAATAAAAATAGCATTGCTTTCACTTAAATTGTCCCAGTGTAATTTACCCTGCAATCACTTCTCAGTCCTACTGAGTATAGCATCCTTACCTTCCTCCTCCTCTGAAGTGCAAGAGACATTTACTTCATCTGAATATCACTTTCCTCTTCTTCGAATTCCAGCTACTTTTTTGTGTTTAATTTTTGCTCTAAGACTTCTCCCTTCATTTTCTAACATTCTGAACTCTGAGCTCTGAAATATTTTTATGTGCGTAGTGTTCTACCCTTGAAGATAATGCTTCAAAAAGATTACCTAGTTAGACATGCTTCAAACAACTAAATTTATTCTCAACATTATTCAAATGATAGTATTTATTATTACAAGGTTTGGCTCTGGGGTTAGATTTCCTGGATGACCCATTTCTTTGCTGGGTGCAAATGGGTAAATTATTTAAACTCTAACTACCTTAGTTTCTAATTATAGGGTGAGAATGAAATTAGTAAGCCAAAAGTATTGGGTTATCTTGAGAGCTAATGGGATAATCCATGTAAACACTTAGAACAAACCATATCCAGCACACACAATATGCAGTAGAGTTTAATGTTGTTGTTGTTGCTATATTTACTATTGCACAGTTATTATGATCTTAATCATATAATTTGATTTAGTTTGAAATACTTCTCTTAAAAGTCTCACCAAAATACAATATAAGCTCAGACCCTGAGAATTATAAAAGTAAATACCATATGATGATTAGTTTTTGAGGAACAGTAAGAAACCATAGAAAATAACATATGACTGGATGAAGATGTGTTTTTTTTTCTATAAAATGGAGTAGTACTCAGCCATAAAGCATGAGAAACTAGAGTCATTCATAGGAAAATGGATGTATATTGAGGCCATACTCTTAAGTGAAATAAATAACACACACACATGTGTAAATACTGAATAGTTTCTCTGGTGTGAAAAACGAAAAGCATAAATAAAATCCAAATTATATAACTGACAATGTGAAATAGGAAGAAAAGGGTTAAGATGTAGGGGAAGTGGGAAGGGTAGGGGAAAGGAAATAAGGGAAAAGAAAAAATATGAAAAAAGGAAAAAATGGAAACAAAGTCTTTGTAAATGGGGGGGTGACGGGAGGGCAGGGGTGTGGGGAAAAAATGAGAACCAAGACCTGTCATGGAAAGGTACAAGATCCCAATGATGAATGCAACTGTACTGTATACTTAAAAATACCAATAAACTCAATGGAAAAAAATGAAGTAAGTATATAAATAACAAAAAGAAAAGAAAAGAAAATAATATATGATAGGCCACGAAGCAGATGCAGGAAATACACAAAAAGCCTTAAAATTATCCTAGCTCAGCTCAATGATAAAGTCTAAGGATATCAGATTTGTCAGATTTCAACAATTGAATCTGAATCAAATCAAATTGAATTTTACACTGTATGAGTCTTGCTGTCAATTTTAAGTTTTAACTTGCTCTTTTTTATCTTTTCACTGTTTGTACTTTCCACGTTGTCATTTTGTGATTGGGTTTGTAGCTCATTTTCATCAGTATAGTTCCTATTAATTTTCCAAATTACTTGATAACGTGTTCATCTATTTCTACACTTGGGTGAGAATACTTTACAATTAAATCCTTTAAAATGTTTTAGGGTGGAAGGGGGTCAAACTTTCTCTTTTAGAGAATTACATTTTTACTGAGTCCATATTTCCAAATTATTTTAAATAAAATAATGTCCAATATGTACTCAATCAGAAATAAACCACCTTACTATCCTTCTAGGAGTTGGTCACTGCTTTGTGCTACGTAGACATTCATTTATTTGTCCATAATTTTCCTCCTAAAAATGTATGTTTAACTCTCACGAAGGTGAAAACTTTCCTTCACTATTTTCACTGCTCCATCTTGAGGTCTTCAAATAGTGCCTTGTGCATGGTGTATGGAGACATGGTGGTTACATTAGGTGAGACTTCTCAAACTTATTTTATCGTGGATCTTTTGTGATCATCTCACAGAGCTAATGTTCCTTGGAACGCGCTCAGGGAAACACTGCTACATTTTCTTTCCTGCCTGGTTCTCCAGCGTTTACATTCTCTCCCTATCACTATGGTGTTCTCAGTGCTGACCTGCTCTTGCAGGCTCCCCTTCCCTCTGCTTCTGGTTGGGTTCAATTAGTTGATGACAATCACAGGGCACTGAGAGGAAAGGGCTAGAATGAATGGCAGAGATATTGCTCCCCAGGTCCCTTTTCTTCAGTTCCCCGAGGCCACGGTGCCATGCACCGATGCTATCCATCAAGCAAAACCTTGTATGGAGGTTGCTGCCCCCAGCTTGCTCCAGAAGTCCAGCTTTGATAAAGGCTGTCCAGGGCTCCATCCTTCCTTTTCCCAAGGCTCATTTCACTGCCTTGACTCACGTTGGTTTTCCCAAGTTCTTCCCATACATTTTTAACAATCCCATTGTTAGCCCTCTGCGTCTGAGTTTGAGCACATCACCTGTTCTTTGCCAAGTCTCCACTTCAAACTAATGGATGATCCATTATGTGCTTCGTCAGTTAAGAGAATGAGTATTTAGGAAAGATTTGTTTCAAGACCCTTTCTCTTATTAGTCCTCGGACTGGTGGTTGTAATCATCCAGCACTGGATGACATGAAGTCAGAGCACTGCTGGGTATACAGTATTACAGATGCCACAAATTCTGGCCTAATTTCTGGGGAAATCGCCTATATATTTCACCAAATTCTTAGAAACAAGTCCTGTGAGCATCAAGCTCCTGTGATTATAGTCCCTGCCATTTAGCACTTTTTCTACTTTTCTCTCTACTGAAAATTGACACGCATATAAATGGACACAATGGCATTGGTGGGATGGCTGTACTACTGAAACTTTTAAGTTCCCCCTTATTATGTAAGGCAATAAGATCCATATAAAAGGGAAAGAGAATTACTTTCCATGAAATCAGTCAATGGAGCATCTTGACTGTAGAGACTGTGGCATCTAACAGAGACTTCCAACTTTGAACTATGTAACAACTGAAGTTCTCTGTAAAGTTTGCAATTTTCACACACCTTGCCTAAGTAGAGCCTGACATATAAGAAACATAAATTCTACAGTGTTCCAGAAAATGAAAGGTCAAGAGATAAATGCGTTGAAAATTGTCTTTCCTCTTTTCTTTTACGTTTCCCCTCTTTGCACATCCTTCAATGAGGCTGTAAGACCCACTTTAACAGGGAAGAGATTCCGTTCCACAAACTCAGTCTATGGCGCTTCCTGACCGTAGGGATGACAGGATCGAAAGCAGAATTCCTACTTGGGTACTAGAGAAGTATTACAATGCTTGGTCAATTTTGTAATTTCCAGGCACAGCCAATGTATATAGAATCTGACATATAGGAAACATAAATTCTGCGAAAAGTCCCAGAGACTGATGGACAGGGGATAAATAAATTGAGCACTGTTTTTCCTCTCTCCGACACCAGATATTGCTCTATTGGTTATAGCGTTAGCTATGCTTTTTTTTGTTTACTATTTATTTTTTTATTTGTGATCCATTTAACATTTCACTTTATACTGTAGTAACTAACACCTGTTCACTGAATGACACTGTTCTCAGAGTAGCACTTTTGAAATCTTCTGTGTTCTCACACTTATATTTAACTGTTTTGGCTGCATATATCTATGATGTGCAGGGTGTTAGTTTTGGAGGTGCTAGAGCCTGAAGTCAGGGTCTCACACACACTAAGCAAGTGCTCAGTGGCTGAGTTACATTCCCACCCTGACACACTAATGTGAATAGATGCATACCTCATGGAATATTTACTGTGGCCGGTAGGAGAGTTAGGCTTTTATCTGTGAGTTCCCCTTTCCGCTCCTTGATCTGCCTTCCTTTGGCTTCATTTGTCCTGCGACACCTCCTAGAACAAATCATCTACCCTTTCTCTCTGGAGTCACCATTGTTCTTCTAATGGGAAGCTTTGTAAAGTGGACCCCACTTCCCTTGGTAATATTTTCCACTATGGAGCGTGGTGAACTTGTAAAATTGTCAGTGTCGAATATAAGAACCTGAGCATGAGTAACGACGCGCTTCTTACTGATCCCTCAATAAGGAAGAACCGATGAAAGTTACATCATTTGGACACAGCATTAACATCCTCAATTTCTCAAGGCGGATGTGACAATGGAAATAAGGGCATATGGACAATAATTTACTTTTCCTAACTCACAAGAGATCTTAATTTTGTTTAGGATGATACCTTACCAAGTTTCTATTAATTGTGTATATAAATTCCTTTCTGGAGAAGCTCATTTCATTCCTGTTTGCATACTTTAGCACATGGAGTAGAGTATAAAAATATTGATTGATTTTTAATGTGCCTTTTTAGTAGCTAGAGATACCAGAATGAAGAAAACTAATACAATTTCTGCCTTCATAAGGAGAGTTCCACATTCTTGTGTATTTAATTGATTCTCAACAATTGTGCATATTTCTGGCAGGTTTTGTCACATTCATACAGTG